GGCTCAATTGGTTAAGTGACTGCCTTCAGCTCAGGTCATGATCCTGGAGTCCCGGGATCGAGCCCCACATCGGGCTCCCTGCTCAGCAGGGAGTCTGCTTCTCCCCCTCACCCTCCTCCCTCTCATTCTCGCTCTCAAATAAATAAATAAAATCTTTAAAAAATAAATAAATAAAAGGTATGGGCTGAAAAAAATATTTTTTTAGAAAAACAAGCTAAAGTAATAGACAAAGGAATGAGGATGACATCAAGAGTAAATTAATTATTTTAAATTTTATTTTCATTCCAGTATAATTAACATGTGGTATTAAATTAGTTTCAGGTGTACAATATGGTGATTGAACAATTCTATATAGTACTCAGTGCTCATTAAGATAAGTGTACTCTTGGGGTACTCGGCTGGCTCAGTCAGTAGGGCACACGACTCTTAATCTGAGGATCATAAATTTGATTCCCACAAGAGGCATAGAGATTACTTCAAAAAAATTAATTAAAAAAATAAGTGTACTCTTAATCCCCATTCACCTATTTCACCCATCCCCCCACCCACCTCCCACTCTGGGAACCATCTGTTTGTTCTATATAGTTAAGAGTCTGTTTTTTGGTTTGTCACTTTTCTCCCCTCTGTTCGTTTTGTTTCTTAAATTCCACATATGAGTGAAATCACATGGTATTTGTCTTTCTTTTGCTTAGCATTACACTCTCTAGATTCATCCATGTTGCTGCAAATGGGAAGATTTCATTCTTTTTTATGGCTGAGTAATATCCCTTCTTGAATCCACTTCTTTCTCCATTCATCTATCAATGGATACTTGGGTTGGTTCCATATCTTGGTTATTGTACATAGTGCTGCAATAAACATCAGGGTGCACATATCCTTTCAAAGTAGTGTTTTTGTATTCTTTGGGTAAATATCCAGTAGTGTGATTACCAGATCATATGATAGCTCTATTTTTCATTTTTTTGTAAGTAGTAAATTTTAAAAAATAGAGTAAGTAGTGACACAATCAGTTTGATTTAGAATTGAGAGGAAATGCTACTTTTTAAGTAGCTTTTATACTTCTAGCATGACTAGAAGTCAACAGAGTAGTTGAGCTTACCACAAGATCACTTTCCTTTTTCTTACTCCCTAACTTCAATTCTTTTCCCTCCCCCTTTTTTTCTTTCCTTTTATTTTTTTAATGTTTTCCATGCTTTGAACTTGCCAATGACATTTACAGATACTACGGTGCTAGCTGTTACAAGAGATAAACCTAAATCTCAGTAGCTTAAAAATTAGAAGTTACCCACCAATAAAGTCTAAAATGATCAGCAAATAGGCTCTCAAGGATCCAGGCTCCTTTCACGTACCCACTCTCCTCTAAAGCCTCGCAATCCTCTCCATTCAGTTCGCAGAGAGAGGTCTATTCTGGGACTGAACAGAGGTTCAAACTGGAAGATTTTATGGGACAGACCAACAAGTGGAGCACATCACTTTGGTAATACACCATTGGTTAGTGCTCACTCACATGGCCACACTGAACAGCAAGGGAGACCCAGGCAATGGAGTCCAGCTGTGGCTCTGATAGAACAGAATGGGTTTAGTCAAGAGCTAACAAGTCTGTCTCTGCAACAAACTCCAGATTATTCCAACAATAGATAATCGTGATCTAGAGCACTCTGTTCAGCTCTCTCCTCACTTTCAGTTTGAATAATGCACCTATGCAAATTCCCCTGAACTCTTATTTTAATGTATAGCATAGATCTGAAGAGGTCACGACAATCCCTTATACATGAGTGGAGCCTATTCACTGTCTCATCCCTTAAGTCTCATTAGTGCTAACAAACTAATACAAATTTGTGTTTCCAGAGGGAACATCTTTATACCTCACTTTTTTTTTTTAAAGATTTTTATTTATTTATTTTAGAGAGAGAGCGAGAAAGCGTAACTAGGAAGGGCAGAGAGAGAGGGAGAGGGAGAGAGAATCTCAAGCAGGCTGCGTGCTGAACGGAGCCCAACCTGAGGCTCAATCTCAGGACCCTGAGATCACGACCTGAGCCAAAACCAAGAATCAGACACCTAACCAACTGTACCACCCTGGCGCCCCTATACCTCACTTTTTAAAGACATCTTAAATATATCGTTCATTTTATCTTCATAACCCTTTGAACAGTAGAGACATCAGATATGTCCACTTATTAATGAATAATAATAGTTCACTTTGTACAAGGAATGGTGCTAAGCAATATATATGATTATAATTACTTCTCTTATAATTATGTAAGATGTATCTTACATAATTATCAGTACTTATATAAGATACTTACATCTTATATATTACATATATATAAAACTTCATTTAATCCTCAACACCACTTAACAAGTTAAGTGTTTTTATTACCAGTATTTTATTGATGTGGCAATTAAGGCATAGAAGGTTGAGTGAATTGACTGAGGCAACAAAGTTGAGCAGTGAAGAAAATAAAACAGGTCAGGCTACATGAAATTCTCCCAGTAATTTTCCCGAGTTCAAGTTCATAGGTCCTCTTTATTTTTTGTTTTGCCATTATCCTTGCCATAGATATTTCTATTCCTCAAAATACTTATCACTTGGGCTTTCACGACTTTCTCTATTCTTGCTTCCCTGCAACTGCATTACACCTTTATTCCATGAGCTCAAATTCCTTGATTTGAGTTTGTAAACCTAATAATTCCTGTTGTTTCATACACACATGCCTTGCTATTTAAAACATGAGGTAAACACCTAATTTAGCTGTTTCCTAAAGTAAATCCACAATTTATTGATGCAGAGAAATCCCTAAACTTCCTCTAAAACAAAAGGGTATTATTCTATCTAGACACAAGGTTGAGATTAAAGAAACATCAATTTCCATTTTAAGTAAGATTTAACTTAATACATTTTTTTAGTTTTATTTATTTAAGTAATTGCTACACCCCATGTGGAGCTCAAACTCATGACCCTGAGATCAAGAGTTGCATGTTTTTCCGACTGAGCCAGCAGGGACCCCTAACTTAGTATCTTCTGTCAAATTTCTGGTGCCATGCCTAGCACAAAACCAAAGACAACTTAAAAATGGGGAGGGGGTTGAAATATTAATATTTTAAAAGAGTCACTCTCTAAAAGACTTTACTTGGGAGTCAAAAGAACGATGACTTTAATATCTCAGAAATAAAACCCCAATCAATTTGTTCATCAAGTTTAGTACGAATCTGTTCTGATGCGGAAGGTTAGGAAAAAATAAAATACCCTGAAACTGAACTGGTCGCCGGAAAACTCTCTTCCTGGTTTATACTTTACTATCTAAATGCCAGCTGGAACCTCAGGCAAAATGTAATTTGTAGACCGGTTTGTGGCAGAAACACTGTATCCAACATTCAGAACAGACAAGGTGCTGGAAGAGTGAGGACAGATTTTATGTGTCTGCTACGGATAAATTCAATCCTCTGCACATCTTGAGGCGGAACTCTTTTGTGAGGCTCCTTTGTCAGCTGTGCCTTAAGGCAGGCCCCCTAGTAGGTGCTCAATAAAGGTATGTTGGGGGCGGGGAAGAGACAAACCAAGAAACATACTCTTGACTACAAAGAACAACAAACATGGTTACCATAGGGGAGGTAGGTGGGAGATGGGGGAAATAGGGAATGGGCATTAAAGAGTATACTTATCAAGATGAGGGGAAAATGGTTTTAAAAAAGGGTATGTTGGAAAACTCAATAAGGCCAAAATGGAGTTTGCAAAGAGGTAGTAGGAAGAGTTCTGAGTTCTCATTGCTAACTATAAACTCTAGATTACTTTTGCATCTGGTTTTGCAGGTCATCCCAGCACTAGTCTTTTCTTAGCTCTAACATTTAAAGGGAGAAGAGGCAGAGGCATTTTACACTGTTCATGTATCTCTCTGAACTTCCTTAAGTTGATTGGGTGGAGGCTCTACCGTTTTAGGCTGGCCGGTTTGTAGGGCACCTGCAATTTCCGCTCTTCTCTTTCCCCCTCTTCCTGGCTCCAGGTCCTTGCTCCACTGCCAGCTGGGTCAACGGGGGCCCTGGGAACTACCACGTCCCTCAAACCTTGCTTCAGGAGAAAGCAGGTAGTGATCTTTATGTTTTAAATCACTGCCACATGAAGTCTTCCAGTGGACGCTTTATTTGGAGAGAAAAATCTAATCTACGAGAAACGAGTCGGTAAGGGGCAACCTCTGTTCTTTGCCTCTCTTCATGCTAAGGCCTCCACGATCACCCGAACCCTCCATCTAAGAAGGCTGCCGTTTCCCCGCGGGAGCTGTAGGCTTTCGGAAAGAGGCGGCCTCACCTCCCACCAGCTCCGCCCCACCCGACCCACCTCACCGCCACTTCGCGCCCCCATTGTCCCCTCGCAGCTGTCACTGCGCACAGATCCCGAGTCCCCTATTGGAAAACTTTCCCGTCACTCAGCCCATACTCCGGGGCCCGATTCCTCACTCTCTATTCCGAGCCTTAAAAGGTCTAAGGCCGCTTTCCGCGAGCCAGCAGGTAAAAGCCGCGGCGGAAGGGAGGAAGGGAGGGGCCGTGCGCTCAGGTTGGCCCCGCCTGGCGACGGGGTGCGGCGGGCTGGGGGGTTAGCGCGCCACACCGCCCCTCCCCGACCGTCTGACCGCGCCCTCCCCCGCCACCCCCAAATCCTGATCACAATGCCAGAGCGGCGGAGCCACTCGCGTAATCCAGCCCCGGGACGACCCAGGAGGCAGTTACCACCGCGAAGCACGGAGGGCGGGGCGGGCCTGGGCGCGGGGAGGGGTTGGGGGGGGATGTGAAAGGTCCCGGATGTTGCTGAACCGGAGCCCCTTCTAGAGGGAGTGACTGGCGCAGGCGCAGAAGGGCCGCACGGAAAGCTAAGGTGGGGGTGGGGAGGAATTTCCTTGCTGGTTTAGAGGAAGAGTGAGCCTGTGGAGGTTGCGGGCGATTCGAGAAGGCGAGGTAGGAAGGCAGTGGTGGGAAGGAAAAAGGAAGGAGCTTCCTGCCCAGGCTCACTCTCCCAAGAGCAGAGAAGTTGGAAGCTGAGCGGGGTGGGGAGGAGCGTTGGTAGCGGGATAAGTGGTACGCTCCTCCGCTCGCCCTCTAGCGCGGGCGGGCAGGACGCGCGCGCTAGGGAGCGGCGGTTGCACTGGGCCCCCAGAGCTGTGGGCACCAATCAACGGTTGCCATAGCAGCGTTTGACGTCATCGTGCGTGTGGTGCCCCTGCTGTCGGGGCTGGTGATTGGAGGAAACCCCGTGTCTGCGGAGCCGCTGTAGCCTGTGAGCAGCGAGATCCACGGACAGAGTCTCAGCCTCGCCGCTGCCGCCCAGAGACTGCTGAGCCCCCGTCCGTCCGCCGCCACCCACTCCGGACACAGGTAAGGGACCCGGCCGCCGCCGCCTAGTCTCACTCCTTCCTTTCCCAGAGCAAGTATCCGAAAGCGTGGGGGCCGTCTCCGCTCCACAGCCCCTCCGCCCCGCTCGCCCGGCGGTAGCGGCGCCTGGCTGAGGCGGAGTCTCCTCAGGCGGAGACGGGCGGCGGCTTCTTTTCCGCTGGGTTCGGGCGGGCGGCTCGCGGCCGCCTCGGGCTACTTGCTTCCGGATCGACGCCTTGGCCCCGATAAGCGCCCGTTCCCGGACCCCGTCCCCGGGGTGGAAAGGGCGCCCACACGCGAGGTCCCCGGGGAGCCGCCCGGTCGCCGGCTCCCGGGGGTGGCCGAGGCTCCCCTGGGCGCGATCCGTTCCCACCCGCGCCCCTTCCTCCTCGCCGCCCCGCTCCCGCCCGAGATAATGACTCGGCGGCTGCGGGCATTGCAGTGGCGCAGGTGAGGCCGCCCCCTCCCCTCGCCGCCCTCCCCTCCCCCTGCCTCTCCCGCCCGCTCCTCGGCGCAGCCTCCGCGCCCCGCGCTGCGGCGACGGCACCCAGCCCTCCCCCACCCGGGCGGCGGCGCGGCAGCAGGGCTGGGCCTGGGGACCGGGCCGCGAGCCGAGGCCGGCCCGGAGGCGCCCGCCAGGTACTCTAGGGCGAGGCCTCGTTTCTGGCACGAGGGGGAACCGGCTCTGGGGTGGGGCTGGCCTGGGACCTGGGGCCGAATTTCCTGGGTTCCTCAGTGGGGCGGGGGATGGGGCTGCGGTGGGGTTTTTTTTGTTTTTGTTCCCCCTCGGGGTGAGTGGGGGGCTCCGAGCCCAGGTGGGGATAGAGAAGAGAATGGGGAAGGCGGTGGGCCGGCGTCTGGCTCGCCTGCCCGGTGGGCTTGAACGGGAGGGTCCCCGGGCTGGCTTTTTAGACGCTGTTCCCCTCTCGGGGCGGCTGAGGCTGAGCGTAACAGCAGGCGGTGGCCCCGCTCGCCTGGGTGTGGCTCTTGCCCCCTCCCCCACCTGCTGCAGCTGTCGGGTCCTTATAGACTAAATGAGCACCAGCGGTGTCCGGTGGCGGAGGAGACGCGGGTGGGAGAGTGGGGTGTGTCCGCCGCCCGGCCGGTCGTGGTTCCGCTTCTGCGGGCGGCGCTGGCGTCTCTGCCCCCGGGGCGGGCGGGCGGCTCCCCCCCCTTCCCCCGGCTCGGGCGGGGGCGCGCTGCTCCTCCCTCTCGCTCTGGTGGGGGAATTAGCACTCAGCAGTAGGTTGGGCTCCTTGACACAGATCCGCCATGACAAAGAGGGAGAATCGGGGACTTGGGCGGAGCCAAGGAGGGGTGGTTGCGGATAGCGCGCACGGAAGGATTTGCACTTTAGAGTCAAGGTCTGTCCGTGTTCGTTTGACCTCAGTCGACGTCTTACGTTGGTTAAGGGTTAAAATGGGTGCGGCGAGTCCTCTCCGCAATACAGAGGCGAGGCCTTGGAGTACTACTCTGTGAGAAATGCACTTCCCCTTGTACCCGAGGGGTTGGGGAGAGAAACCTTTGTATTGGTTTTTGATAATTTTTCGTTAGAAGCAGCATTAACCTGAGAGCGTTTTGAGTTCCTAAGGGAAAAATTAGTAATTTCAGGGGTGTGTTTGTGGGGGGGGGGTGAGATCATAAATTTTAAATAGTTTTGCATTGACATGGTATACCTCACAAATAAGCTAGCTGATTACTTCTTTACCCTGTTCGATTTTGCTTTAAAAAAAGGTATTATGGGATTTCCCTGGGAAGGTAAAGGATGTGATACTGGGGAGTCAGTTCGTATAGTGACAGTGGCTCTTCTGTTCACCTTTTAATAGTGAACTTCAGGCTATTTTTAAAATCACTTATTCTGTGGGATCAGTGTATGGCTTAGTATTTTTCTGTGCTGTTCTAGCACCTTTCAAAAGGATATCTTCAAGGAAAAGTATAACGGGTAAATTAAAAGGTCTAGGGAGCTTTGAAAGAATTAGGTGAGAAGTTGGTAAAGGCAGCTTGAGTGACAATTAAATTTTCACTAGTAGAAACACTGTAATTTTATATTTAAACTGGAGCAATGACATAGAAAACACTGACCACACTAGAAGCACTTAATATACACATTTTAGTGCTCATGTATGATGGTAAGTTGTAGGACTCGTGGATGTATTTTTTAAGCATGTATGCATGTAACAAGGTACAGGTAATGAGGCTTTAGGATCTGTTAGCGATTGTGGGTGCTTGTTTTATATTCAGAATGCCTTAAATCAAGCAGTTTGGCCTATTCTCCCAGAAAATTGTCATGCTGTGATCAGCTGGCAATTGGGGTGGGGGTAATACCAATAAAATTTAAACTTAAACACTTCTGACAAGAATAGTAGGTATTATTAAAGTAAAAAGACATGAGTTACATTAAACTGACCTGCATCATGATTCTGTGGAAGTACGGTAGAGGTTGTCATGTTGTTCGTCGACAGTGCTTTCACTAAAAAAACAAACACAACTGCTTAATTTTGGATTACTTACGGTACTGAAAATTGGAATTGAGATTTTGGCCAAGTAAGGTAAGGGTTGGATTTTAAGGTAGCCTCTTTACCAAATGTGTTTTGGCTTTATGTGAAATTAGGATCTTCTGAACAAAGATGGTGTAATGCAATTTTAGTTTTGCTTCTCATTTGCTTTATATTTATGGCTTTAAATTTGTCCCCTGAATGCTGAGTATGCCACCTCCCTTTTTTTTCCTATTCTGGTCATCCTTTTGTGAGGCTGCATTAAATTCCTCACATAAAGACTCTTCCATAGGCATTAAAGTTTGAAGTGTTAATATAACTTATTTACAAAAGGTATAATTTGAGTCTGTTTATTTCGATGGAAAAATCTAAATGCTACTTTTTTTCCCTGCAGAACATCCAGTCATGGATAAAAATGAGCTGGTGCAGAAGGCCAAACTGGCCGAGCAGGCTGAGCGATATGATGACATGGCAGCCTGCATGAAGTCTGTAACTGAGCAAGGAGCTGAATTATCCAATGAGGAGAGGAATCTTCTCTCAGTTGCTTATAAAAATGTTGTAGGAGCCCGTAGGTCATCTTGGAGGGTCGTCTCAAGTATTGAGCAAAAGACGGAAGGTGCTGAGAAAAAACAGCAGATGGCTCGAGAATACAGAGAGAAAATTGAGACCGAGCTAAGAGATATCTGCAATGATGTACTGGTGAGAATCATTCAGACTAGCTTCATTATAATATAGGGCTCCTATAATGAATGTCAAGTGTTACTTTCAACTTTTTGTCTTTGGTTTTTCTTTTCCTTGAAAAAATTGAATGTTCTAAATTTTGAAGTCTTCAGGGTGTCCTTACTAAAAGGTATTAAAACAGTTGTAGGTAAACTGGTATAAAATAAATGCAGTACTGATTATCAGGTCAGGTAGACTAAAAAAGCAGTGTGTTTTGTGCTAATTGAAAAAATAAACTATTATCATTTCAGTTATGGTTAAGGTATTTGTAATAGTTAATAGAGCTCGTTCTCTTAACTGTACATCTGCGGATACAGGAATTTTACATACCTTGTTTTATGTAAGAGATGTAGTAGGAGACTCGTTGTAGACATAATATCCTTCCCTGGGTTAGCCACTGAAATGTAATGAATCAGCTATACAGAACACTGTGGCTTCAGAGTTGCTTTTTTCCTCTTCCTGCATTTAAGTATTAGAGGTCAACTTTGAACACTGACAACCACAATAAAAGATTATGAATAACTCATACTTGATTTTTCTAGGTTCAATCAAGAAGTATTTTAAGAATTTAGTACATACTGTCGTTGAAGCACTGCTCTAAAAAGCTTAAAAGAATTGAACATTGCATTTTAGCTAATTTTAATCAACCTTCTTACAAATGATAGCTTTCTCATTCAGAAAAGTTTAAATCTTAGGATAAATTGGTTAGGAGATCCAGTCATTTAGCATATAAGATATACATTAATACTTTTCCTTTTTAATGAACCAGGAGTGATTTTACTAAATGATTACCTATAGGACTTGGGTCTCACTCAGTATGGCGGGGCACTTACATAGAGAGAGAGTATCCCAATTTCTCTGGACAGGTTACTGGTTCTGGGACTCAGAAATCCAGGTGCACACTTAACTTGAAACTTGTTCATGCAAGGGGTACTCTAATGAGCAACATAGGATTATTTCTGTTGTTTTAGGCTTAGGGCTTTTGTTAAAGTTGTGTTGGTATTAAGATTCCTTTACACAAGTTTTTAATTACTAATGGGATGGTTTAAGTCCTAAATTATTCTCAAATGATATTTTGTTTAGGCTGTATTTCAAAGAACAGTATTTTTTATTTTAACGTGGGCTCACAAAGTTTTCTCATGTAGTGTCTGTCTTGGGTGGGGTTTTTGGGTTTTGTTTTTTTTTTTTGTTTTAAATCTTTACATTAATAGGAGTTATTTATTTCTAAGGTGGGAAAGGAAATCTGTGTCTTTATTAAGGCTAAATAACATGTTTATCTTGTGATTTGCTAGTGTTAATACTTAAAATTTGAAAATACGTCTTTCTATAATAATAAAACATGTTGGGTTTTTTTCCTCCCTTGCTCTCTGTGCGGACTAATACCTGTGTAGATGTTACTGAATTTTGTTTGTGCTGGTGTTTTTCCTCCAACTATTACACCTGATAATTTTTATTTTGGTTTCAAAGAATTGTTGAGTTATAACTTAAGACAAAAGCCAATCTTAGGAATAAAAGGGGATGTAGTAACATTTACTCTTTACTAACAAGCTTCTTTGCTATTCCAGGTAGGTATTTGCATGTTTTTCCTACACAAAGTATGAAAGCTCCTGTCAATGCAAGGATTTTTCTAGGAAAAGACTATAGCAGTTTTAACTTTGCTTCCCTTTGGTTTCCTTATCAAAAAAAAAAAAAAATACTGCATATGATCAGTGGATGGTAATAACTAGATTAATCTCTTCATAGCTTCTTTGTTGATATGATTATTAAGGGGATTTGATATTAGTGACTATCGATGTTCTCCTTCAGCATAGTACTGGCCTCTCACTAAGTCTAAATGAAATTTCCACCTTGAGAGTATAGATAAATGAAAGTATAATTGCTTTACCATACCAAAGCTAAACAAATTTTTGCTTCCAGCCTTGGTCTTTTAGTGATCTAAAAGCAGATCTTTTAGCTCTGTTAGTGATCTTTGCATAGTTCATGCTTCCTAACATATAGATACTATATCTACTCAAGTATTTGCTGAGTAAATGAACAAAAAGGCTTCTTCAGAAAAGAGGATAATAGAACTAGGTCAGCAGCACTGCTAATTTTCCAAGGCCTTTTCTGTTTCATCTTGGGAAAATTCGGTATTTACATATACTGTGGTTCTTTTTCAAGTAGACCCATCATCTTTTTTCAAACAGGTCATGTTGGCTGTGGAAACATCTTGCATAAAATTCCTTTTCCTCTTTGAGTAAAATGGAAGAATAAAATAGAGCAGAACTGACATTTCTCCTAGAGAAAAAACTTTCTGATGTATTTGATGATTAGGGAAAGTTTGCCTTAATTATATTCTAAGGTCTTACATGGTAAAAAAATATAATCACAATCTTTATTCTAGTTTTTTTCTGAACTTTGACTCCCCCCCCCCCCGTTTGAGAAAAATAAGCAGGTAATCCCTTTTCAGAATTAATGTTACTGATCAGTTGCATCAGTAATGAAACAGACTTCATTGTTCTATTGAGCACCTGCATCATACTGGCCAAGACCTCTTCCCATAAAAAGGAGCTAAGTTTTTCTGAAGAGCTCTTTAGTCTTTTATTAAATGGTTACTGCCATTCTGGTATAAGCGTTTATCAAGTGTTTAATTAATACCATTTATTAAACAGAGAAAGGGTAGTCTTGTTACTTTGTGTAAGAGTTATAGAGCATTATTGTGGAAAATGGTCACAGGCATGTTCTTCACAACATGGACTTCTCTTTTCGCAAGAGAACTTGGGGTTCTTTCTTGTGTTGTTAATTTGAAGTTTGCAGTATGTGAACTAATGCAATCTGCCTTTCCTGCCAGGTCTTAGACCAGAAGTTCTCTTGGTAGTAGGGTAAGGACTCAACACTAGTGATTTCTACTACCTCTGCATAAATCCACAAGAAGCAGCCAAAAACTGGATAGTTTTGTCTTGAACATGAAATGACAAAATAACATACTAGAAAACCTAATTCCAGTTCAAAGAAGAATGTAGTGTAAAAAGAACACCACATTTTGAGTCAGACCAACTTTTTACCACCTAATAGTTACAAGGCCTAAGGAAATCAATCAGTTCCTCTGAGAAAACTGAGTTCAATTAAATGACAGTAATGTCTACCCCATAGGATTGTTAACAGAGAATGAAAATCAGGAGTCTCTTAACTCTAGAGTCCAGGAATGGGATTTAAAAGATCCAGGAAGCCTTAAAAACTGTATTTTTGTGGGGCAGAGGGTCCATTTTGACTAGTAAATTTTCCAGAGTTTCATTAAAAAATCTGAAAGCCACTGGTATAAGACAAAAAACAGCTTATAGGAGGTGAAGCAGTAAAATCTTCAATGTAGCATCTGTAACAGTTGGCAACAGTAGTTGAGTAATAGTAATAGTTACTCAGTTAACTTGAGTTCCATTTTATAATGCTCTACATTTTTATTTGCCTCAGGCAGTTTTAAGATGTGGTTGCTGGGCACTGGTTTGTATCTGTAGACTACAGAACTGCCATTAAGCAGGAACGAGCTAGGAAACCAGGTAGCTTTTGGGGCTTTGCTGGTCTGAATATATTATGTGCCTTGTGCTTTAAAAACCACTATATGGAATTGTAAGCTGACAACCACTAGGCAGCTTATTTATTGGAATAAGGGCTTCTTAAAAGAATTCTGCAGTATTATACTGATCTTTACTACTTAATATATTTACATGTTTTTTCAAATGGCTTTTGGTATGTTTGAAAATAGAAAGACCTTCTGTTGCAAAGGAGATACAGTCTCTTCCAGGGAGGAATACATTGGACAGACTCTTGATAATAAAATTCATTATTTTTGGAGAGTTGTCATAAGCAGTAAGTATTGCACCTGGTGAGGTATTTTATACAGTTGGAAAGTCTGAGGTGTGTGATGTGAAAATGAAAGGAAATAAAGGAATGAAAATAAAAAGGCAGGTGGTTGCTCCTTGGTGGAAAGGGGAAGAATAACCAATTTAAGAGCAACAGGCTACCTATCCTTTTTCAGTATAGCAGTACTTCACTAAGAATGCCTTTCTACCTGTTCTAGTAAAAGATGGAGATGCTTAGTTTTAGTGGTGAGCTGTGAAGATGATGATGATTAGTGTGTTAAAAGTGAACTAAGAGGAAAAGTTTAAAGGATTCGAAATTGGAATTAGAGTGAAAAACCTGAGTTAAAATCTCAAGAATAGGAAGTACAGGCACACTTAGAATGATTCAACTCTTAATCTACCCAAGAAAAAGGAAGAAATTGTATGCGGCCCCCACTGAGGCATTTTGAATTAGAAAGGTGGAAAATAAGCTCCCTAGCGCACCAAGAGTAATTTTGCTTTTCATTTCTTCTTTTAAGAACGCTCAGCTTTACTAGTAAAGAAATCCTAGTGGTAACACCTCAATAGTGGTACAATAGAAGCATCCTAATTGGTTAACTGAAAAGTAGTTTATATGATCATACTTGTTTTAAACATTTGTTTTAAATTAAAATACAGATGTATATGTTCATTTGTCCATTTTTAATGTGAGGCAAAGGCCTTTTCAAATAATTTGCTAACTACCCCTATCAATGATGTATCCTTTATAAAATACAGTTTGAGTCTGCATAGTAGAGTGAGAATTTAAATGTTTGGTAAGCAATCAGTTCAGAATCCCTCTAGAAATGTGTTAATTTTTTCTGATCTTTTAGTTGTCCAACCCACGCTATTTTTCTGTATGTAACTCCCTTTAAAAACTAGTTGTTTCCTCACCCCGCTAAAAAAGTGCTCTTCCAAAGCACTCCATTTAGTTTTCATAGTAACGTATCTTTTCACACTTGTATATCCTAACATTTAAATAACATAACATTTTAAGTAATTATAGCCAGTATAGTGGCATGGTTTTGGAAACAAATATCAGACTATTAGTCGGATACCTTAACAAATGTCAATAACTGCTGATAGAAGCTGAGGGGGAGTCCGGAGAGTAGCTGAAAAGTCTAT